GCCCTGGCACAACTTGAGGCCGGTGCCCCTCGTCCCATCGCCCCTTCCCTGGGAGCAGAGCCCGACCCCCCCGGCTCCCCCCTCCTCTCAGGCAGTTGTAGAGGGCAATAAGGGTTGGTGCGCTTGTCCTGGCTGCCAGGTTTTCTTTTTTTTCCCCATGAATTTGCCCTGAAGTTCTGGCTGGGTCACGGCTGCTGGTGGCCTGTGCCATGTTTGTGCCAGGACACGGGCAGAGCCGGCCCCGGAGCAGGGACCGCTCAATGCTGGGCTGGGCTCTGACAGTGCTGCTGGGGTCTGGCTGTGCTGTCTCCATCTCAGTGACTTCCTGCTTTCCCAGGACTTTTAAGAACCAGGTCTTTTTTTTCTTCCATTTCATTTTTTAACAGCTCTGTCCTGTCTCTCCATCCCTCTCCTTGGGGTCGTTTCTTGCTGTGGCCACTCCAGAGAAGCTGGGAGATGCCGTCTCCTTGCTCAGCTGCTGCTGTGGAGGGCTAGAGCTGAATTTTTCCACCTTCCCCAATGGTTTTCCAAATTTTCCCATTTACTTTTGCAGAAAGGTGCTCTTTGGGGGCACAGCGCTGAGAGCGAGCATTTCACTAAGGATTTCAAGGGAATGGCCTATGACACCCCCTCCACCATAACGTGTCGTGTTTATCATTCATATTTCCATAACTAAAGGTCAGCATGGCCAGCTCGGAAGTCTGATGTTAATTACACTAATGAGCAAAAGTCTGCGGCTCACTGATCTGAGCTCCGCTCTCCGGGATGTCAGGGCGGTGCGAGGCGGCTTGGCCGGACCCTGGGCACTGTTGGGTGTCCTGCGGCCGTGTGGGGGTGTTGAGAGGCTCCTAGGGTCCCAGTCTCCTGTGGGTTTTGGGGAGCTTGCAGGTATCTTGCAGGCTGGGATAAGCCATAGATCCGCTGCCGTGCCTGTCTGCGGGCTCTGGCTGGGAGAGTTGGTATGTACATCCCAAGGGATGCTCCTGCCCTTGACTTGGGGCATCCTGGGCTGGTCCTCTGGGGGTGCAAGCATCTCTGCTGATTTCACAGGACCCCTGGGTCCCGTTTGGCCTTTGGCTTTGCTGCCAAATTTCTTCTTCAAGAGGTTCCCATGCGCAGAACGTGCAGCAAGGCCTCCTCAATGGAGAGGCAGGTCCTGTGCGGTACCCAGGAAGAGCAGGCGCATCCCCCAGCCCCTCCATCAAATGGCTCTAGAAAAGGGTTGAAAGCACTGGAAGGGGCTGCCCAGGGAAGGGGTCGAGTCCCCAGCCCTGGGGGGATTTAACAGCCGGGCAGAGGTGGTGCTGAGGGCCAGGGTTTGGGGGTGGGATGGCAGGGGTAGGGGAGCGGTTGGGCTGGGGGAGCTTAAAGGGCTTTGCCAACCCAAACAATTCCATGATTCTATGAAAATACAAGTTTTAAGTCTATGTGCCTTAAAATACAAGGCACGGGGGCAAGTGGAACAAACACACGGAGGACCGGGGAGTTGTGCCGCTGCCGGCGACACGTGGGGCTGGAGGAAGTTTTAGGCCGTTTCACCCGTGTTCTGGTGGGCCCCATTTCACTAGGATTAAAATGTACTTGCGGACAAAAAAACCCAAAGTAACCTGAAACGGGGGTTGCTAAGTGACGCAGGAGCTGCCAAAACTGAAATGCCAAGACCATCAGCTAAGACCTTAATTGTTCCGAGGGCTGGGAGCGACGGGCTCGTGTAACCCGTGCGCAAGTTTGGTAAGCCAAGGCCAGGCGGTCTCTAAAGCGAGCTTAAATGCCACGTTCACACTGCGTAGGCAGGTCCGGAGGCAAAGCCGCTCCGTGCTTTGCTGCCCGCAGGGAAGGGGTCAGTAAGCATGGGGAGTGGAGCAGATTTTGGTTTACTGCAGTGTGGTTTCAGCAGGTTTGCAATAAATATATGGGCATGTCCAGCTTGCTGGAATTGGTATTAAATTTTGCTTTATCCATTCCCAGTAGCCGGAGCCGGGCCTTAGGAGTGGCAAGCTGGGTTGCTCTGTCGCAGTTGTACTTAACTTTGGATAGCGATGCCCCCAAGCATCACCTGCGGTGCCCCCCCCCCCCTGCCAAAACACGCACAGAGGTGGTGGAGCGTGCAAGGTCCTGCGTGCATCGCTGCGGTGCAAAGCAAAGTCGCTTCCCTCCTGGTTACCAGATCTCTTGGGCGTTAGAGGAAGCCCACCCGCTCTGCAGCTGCCAGCACCGTGTAGCTGAAGCAGGT